CCCCAAAACCCCAAAACCCCAAAACCCCAAAACCCCAAAACCCCATGATTTTTAGACATTGTTGAAACTTAAAAATTATTCGCCCTCGCTGCTGAACATATCATCAGCCATGCTGAGGATGTACTTCGCCCTCTGCTTAGAATTAGGTAGCTTTTTAGTGTCTTTATGGCGAGCCTTAAACTCACTTAAATGGCCATGAGATTTATTAATTCCTTTCTTATTACTTCCTCTTCTGCTCAACCTGTGCTTGTTGTTGGACCTTCTGCATTCTCATCTCTTGAAGTCTGATTTTGAGCTTCTTGCCTCTATTCCTTCTACTACAACATGACCTGGAGACTTACCTTGCGCTCTTTGATAACTTCCTTCTTATGCTCTTGGCTGAGGATCCGCTTCTCTTCTTCAAGAGCACTGATTTCTTGGAGTAGTCGTTCTTCCCTGTACCGTTCGATCTTCTGTAACTTATTTAAGCTTGGATCTATCCTCTTGGCGTTGTCTAGAGTACATCTAGTTAGTGGGCCTACCTCTTCAGGTTTATCCTCCTGTGTTGTTCATACATGGTTTGGTTCAGATTCCCCTCTCTGAACTCAATGTTGTTACTTTTCCCTCGAATCCGCATTCTTACTGGATTATTATCATCATCTTTGGATAGGCGCTGCCCATAAGAGGTTCGACGATAATCTGTCACTGTTGCTGGGGTGATCTGCTGGGAGTTGTATTCTACCAGATTTGAAAGCGGTGATTTCAAGGCATAGATCCCATTTTCAGACTGTTTCTCCCCTCTCATCTTCCTCTTGATCATTTTCTGTAAAGGATCGTCGCTTGTATTCAAAATATTTTGGGTGAAAATAGATTTGTTCTCTTCATCACTCTGGTTTTGCAATGCAGGATCGAGTTCCTCATGATTAGTGCTGATGTCCAGCTGTCTCTTGCTGAAAAACTTTACATCCTTGCTCCTGTCACTCTCGATATACTTCTGAACTGAAGAGTAATCTTTCGTGGTCTCGCGAGAGATCATATCCTTCCTCTCAGAGACCTTATTAATCACTGAGAACAAGGAGTTTTGCTTCTTAGGAAAATTTGAAGGATCAGAATGAACCTCTTCTTGTGTCTTGTAATGGGCTCAAGGTATTTTCAACGTGCATTTAGGACATCTACCGTCATTTACCAATTTGCCCTTCAAGCTCCAAGAGTTAAAGGCCTGAGGTAGCTGGGATACCTTTACTTGTGACCTCTCCTCTGGCAACTTTTCCTCCACAGTCCCAATAGATGCACTTCGTATATTGATGTTAACTACTTTCTGAGATTCTCCTAACTTACCTGGCAAGTTCTTTTGGTTATGCAGAGGCGTCATGACAAAAGGGCTCATGACATGAACGCCTGAAGGCTTCTTTCCAAGACTAGACTGCTTATTAAGGCTTGGCTTGTTGCTAAAACTTGATTTTAGCTCATAGCTTGGCCCTTCTTCGATAGCTTCGTTCTCAATAGGCCTAAAGAGTTAGAAAAGAGAGTTACAGCTTATAAATTTCATCTAGATCGATATCCTGATTTTCCTGATGAGGGTCTTGCTCAGTTATAAAGATGTTCTTCTTGACATCTCCATTATCGAACTCAGTGTGGTTCATAGCATCACTTCTCTCATCAAGCTTGTCCTTCTCCTGGTGCTGCCAAGCTATGAATCCATCTGTCTTCTGCGTGTTTCTGAATTGCTGGATTTCTTGTCTTAGCTGATTATTCTCAGCCTCCAATTTCTTCACATAATCAGCCTTCTGTGCTATTTCTCTGAGTTTATAATTCTGCTCTTTTAGTGAGAGAAGCTCTTTTTCAAGAGGAGCAATTTTATCTAAATAGATCATCTTGTGGTATGATTCAGCAGTATTGCCTTTATACCCGCTCCGGTTGAACTGGAGGATGTCCTTGAGGTACTGGACTTCACGCCTCAGTTTTTGTACAACAGCATCTTCCTTGCCATTGATCTCATTTAAGGACTTTTTCACTAAGACTCTTTTTGAACTATCAGCAAATTTTAAGGTCGAAATTGTCTCATCAATATGATACAGCATGGGTGACAAGGTAGCTATTAGGATGATCGAGCTTGAGAGAGCTGACACTTGCCCCTTCTTTAAACTCTGGTTTCCTATAGCATGTTTAGCTCAAACCTGACAATACACAAATTATATTGGTAATGATCAGTCCAGACCCTTGCTGGACGAGTTAGAATTTGGTAAGAAATATATCTTAAAATTTGAACTCCGTACCTCCAAAACAATCACGTAAGATTCTTGTAAGTTTACTCTCCCGGTAAGGAACGTTCTTATGTGACCCATTTTTGGCTAAGGATGCAACTACTTTACCCAGGGTTGATAAAGAGAGGTTGATGCTCTTATGCTCCTCCATATGCTGTTCACCGAGCTTTTCTTCTGTCTGAATTTTCTCGCTTCCAGCAAGATCACAGAGGTTAAGTTTACTCTTCCTCAGCTTCCCATTAACATCCATCCTGTTGCTCTCCAGGAGAAGTTGAAAGATGGTATGGGATCTTGAGGATTTTATATTCGCTTTAGTCTGCCTCGTAACCCTATTCCTCTCGCCTCTTTTCAGCAAGGTGTAGCAATCTTGGATAGTTTTTACCTGGTATTCGGTCAGACCCTCTACAAAGATCCCATCGTGCTTGTCCTCCCTGATGTTTAACGAGCGAGTGTTATCCTTATCCTGAAGGAGATCGAAGAGTTTCTCATTATAAATCTGTATGAAACTGCAGTAAATGCTATACTCGATTCCTTCGGTATGGTACACTTCATTAGCCTGTTTAAACAAGTCAGTAATCGCTCTGGGTATGATCCCCTTATAACTCTCCATTGATTTTGCGAATCCGTCAGAATGCATCCTGAAATGCCGCTTCCTTCCCACAAATGAGGAGGTTTCAGAGCTCCAGTTCGGTCCAAACATTGTATATGTTTTTCCTGAGCCGGTCTGGCCATAACAAAAGATTGTGCAGTTATACCCAGCTGGAACTTGAAGTATTGGCTCTTTACAGAACTTATAGACTTCTTCCTGAGATTTGGCCTCATCAAACACCATATCGTACTGAGACTGGACTACATTATCGTCTTTAGTAAGTTTAATAACTTTGTCCTAAAACTGAACTACAAAACTTACCTCTTCAACTTCGAAGGAAGCCAGGCTAGCGCCAAATCTCTTAGTTATACCGTGTACTACTTTTAGATTCTTTCATTTCCTTAACAAGTGGAGGACGGATGCGAACAGCTACTTTTATCCTCTCCTTTATAGCTGACGATTTTTTCATCTCTTGCTTTTTATTCGATTTCTGTTTCATTTTAATTCAAAATTTATTAAAAACTTGGGGTTTTGGGGTTTTGGGGTTTTGGGG